TAAGAACATAAGAAAGAAGGAACACTGCAACAGGCCTACTGACCCATGTGGAGCAGGTCCATGTGCCCCCCCCCCCGAAATAGCCCAATGACCCACCCAGTCTGGTCACCTCCACTCAAGGAAGGAGCACGGCACCAGACCCAGCAGCGCAAACTAGTTAGGTCCAACTCACACCCACCCACACCCACTCCTGTATTTATCTAACCTATTTTTAAAACTACACAACGTTTTAGCCTGAATAACTGTACTCGGGAGTTTGTTCCACTCATCCACAACTCTATTACCAAACCAGTGCTTTCCTATATCCTTCCTGAATATGAATTTTTCCAACTTGAAACCATTGCTGCGAGTCCTGTCTTGGCTGGAAATTTTCAGCACCCTATTTATATCCCCTTTATTCCTGTTTTCCACTTATACACCTCGATCATATCACCCCTAATTCTACGCCTTTCTAGAGAGTGCAGATTCAGGGCCCTCAGTCTATCCTCATAGAGAAGATTTCTGATACATGGGATCAACTTTATCATCCTCCTTCGTGCGTTTTCCAGAGCATTTATATCCATTCTGTAATACGGTGACCAGAACTGAGCAGCATAGTCTAAATGAGGCCTAACCAAGGATATATAGTTGAAGAATAACCTGAGGACTTCTATTATTTATACTTCTAGATATGAAGCCAAGAATTCTGTTAGCTTTATTGCAAACACTAATGCACTGTTGTCTTGGTTTTAGATTACTGCTAACCAGAACTCCTAAATCCTTTTCGCAATCAGTAGTATTAAGATCTACATTATTTAGTTTATATGTCGCATGGTTATTTTCCTGTCCAACATTTAGAACTTTGCATTTGTCTATATTAAACTGCATCTGCCACTTCTCCGACCATTGCATCAGTCTATTCAAATCATCCTGGAGTGCTCTAATGTCCTCATTAGAATAAATTGGACGGCCTATTTTGGTGTCATCAGCAAATTTGCTTATGTCGCTATTTATTTCCTAATCTATGTCGTTTATGTAAATTGTGAACAACAACGGGCCCAACACTCACCCCTGAGGAACACCACTTGTGACGCTTCCCCATTCTGATTTCTCCTCATTTATGCAAACTCTCTGCTGCCTATTCGTCAACCATGCCTCTACCCAGGAAAAAATTTCTCCTATTCCGTGTGCCGTAAGTTTCCTCAGTAGCCTCTGATGTGGAACTCTATCGAAAGCCTTATTGAAGTCCATATACACAATATCATATTCATTACCATGATCTACCTCCTCAAACACCTTGGTGAAAAATGTTAGTAAATTCGTAATACAGGAACGCCCCTTTGTAAAACCGTGTTGAGATTCATTAATCAATCTGTGCCTATCAAGATGGCTATGAATTGCTTCGGCAATTATTGATTCCATAAATTTTCCCACTATGGAGGTAAGGTTTATTGGTCTATAGTTCGAAGCCAATGACCTGTCACCTGCCTTGTAAATAGGTATTACATTTGCCATTTTCCACTTATCAGGCACTATGCCAGTTTGTAGTGATATGTTAAAAAGATAATGGTATGTTAAAAAGTTCAGGGCCTGTGGATTTGTTAGGTTTTAGCTTCTCTGTTTGTCTGAGGACCATGTCACTAGTTACTGCAATCGTGCACAGTTTATTATCGTCCTGTTCTACATAATCTATTATTTGAGGAATATCGCTAGTATTTTCCTGGGTAAAAACTGAGAGGAAGTAGGTATTGAGAATTTCACACATATCCCTATCACTGTCAGCGATCTGACCAGAGTTTCTCTTAAGTGGGCCAATCTTGTCCCTAATCTTACTTCTGTTTACCTGAAAGAACCCTTTTGGGTTAGTCTTTGAATCCCTTGCGACCTTAGCTTCATAATCCCTTTTTGCTTTTCTTATTCCTTTCTTTATTTCTCTCTTTAATTGAATATATTGATTTTTTAACTGCCCATCCCCTCTTTTGATACGCCTATATATGCCTCTCTTTTGACCAATGAGATGTTTTAATCTATTGTTCATCCATTTGGGATCATTTTTGTTAGATCTAATTTCCCTACTCGGAACAAAAGTTGTGTGGGCAGCTAGAACTATGCTCTGCACACTAACAGCACATTTCAAGGCAGGTGAAATTGCTGACCTAGAAAGTGTACAGAGAACCTTCACAGCATACATAACTGCGATAAAACACCTCAATTACTGGGAACGCTTGAAGTTCCTCAACCTGTACTCCCTAGAACGCAGGCGGGAGAGAGAAATGATTATATACACTTGGAAAATCCTAGAGGGATTAGTACCAAACTTGCACACGAAAATCACTCCCTATGAAAGCAAAAGACTCGGCAGAGGATGCAACATCCCCGCAATGAAAAGCAGGGATGCCAGTAGCACGATAAGAGACAACACAATAAGTGTCAGGGGTCCAAGACTGTTCATCTGCCTCCCGGCATACATATGGGGGATTACCAATAGACCCCTCTGGCTGTTTTCAAGGCGCTGGACAGGTACCTAGTCAGTATCAGACCAGCCGGGCTGTGGTTCGTACGTCGGGCTGCATGCAGCAAACAGTAACAGCCTGGTTGATCAAGCCCTCATCCACCATGAGGCCTGGCCACAGACCGGGCCGCTGGGGCGTTGACCGCCCAAACCTCTCTCCGGGTATACTCCAGGTATACTGGTAGTGCTTTCACAAGAACATACTCTTATTTTGAAATGGTTTCTTTTGGTGTTTTCATTTTTTTTCTGCGATACACTAGTGTGGCACCTATTTGGCAGATTGTATATATTTTGTTGCTTGTAACACGTTTTTGAGACGTTAGGATAGGTGAAGTGTTTAGTTAAGCACACAATACGTAAGTAATCGCACGCTCTTTTGACTTGTACAACTACGCACTTTTCAAATTTCTCTGCATAATATTCACACTACACATTTTATGTAAAGACTTTTCCATGCCTTAACTTTTCTCCTTGCTGTAAAACAGACAGGTGCATCACACCTCATGAGAGCATCATCACAGTGACGTACCTGAAGTATGTGGCACCCAGGGTACATCTTTCCTCAGGCACCCTCCCTCTTTCCCTCTGTATATTTTAGAATTTAACCACGTACAAGTAGATTTTTAAACCTTACTGTCACAAGTAAATTGAAAAAAAAAATGTGGGACATTAAATATTCAATGAATAGGGAATTCAGTCTCAACACTCAGCCTAGTCTTCAAGGGTAAATAGAAAAAAGTTAGTCTGCTTCGGACTTAATTTCTGCAGATTGGTCAATGGCCTCATCAGAATTCATCTCTTCATATTCATATTCATTTGAGAATAAAGTCATGTTTGTCAGTCTTGGCTGACTCATGACCGAGCGTAAATTTTTAATCAGCTTCAGTTTGGAAAAAATATCTTGATTGCACGCAAACAGAATTTAATAGATACTATCCTGGCCCTACGATGCGTCAGCCATTAGATATTGAAGCCGTTAGGAAGTGGTAAATTTAAATATATTTTAACGTTATTTAACGGTTTAGCGCTTCTTTTTTATTACCTGGAGTTTACCTGGAGAGTGTTCCGGGGGTCAACGCCCCCGCGGCCCGGTCTGTGACCAGGCCGCCTGGTGGATCAGAGCCTGATCAACCAGGCTGTTACTGCTGGCTGCACGCAATCCAACGTACGAGCCACAGCCCGGCTGGTCAGGTACCGACTTTAGGTGCTTGTCCAGTGCCAGCTTGAAGACTGCCAGGGGTCAATTGGTAATCCCCCTTATATATGCTGGGAGGCAGTTGAACAGTCTCGGGCCCCTGACACTTATTGTATGGTCTCTTAACGTGCTAGTGACACCCCTGCTTTTCATTGGGGGGATGTTGCATCGTCTGCCGAGTCTTTTGCTTTCGTTGCGAGTGATTTTCGTGTGCAAGTTCGGTACTAGTCCCTCTAGGATTTTCCAGGTGTATATAATCATGTATCTCTCCCGCCTGCGTTCCAGGGAATACAGGTTCAGGAACCTCAAGCGCTCCTAGTAATTGAGGTGTTTAATCTGTGTTATGCGCGCCGTGAAGGTTCTCTGTACATTTTCTCGGTCAGCAATTTCACCTGCCTTGAAAGGTGCTGTTAGTGTGCAGCAATATTCCAGCCTAGATAGAACAAATGACCTGAAGAGTGTCATCATGGGCTTGGCCTCCCTAGTTTTGAAGGTTCTCATTATCCATCCTGTCATTTGTCTAGCAGATGCGATTGATACAATATTATGGTCCTTGAAGGTGAGATCCTCCGACATGATCACTCCCAGGTCTTTGACATTGGTTTTTCGCTCTATTTTGTGGCCGGAATTTGTTTTGTACTCTGATGAAGATTTAATTTATAATAATAACTGGAATAAAAATTTCGGACTACACATTAAATCATCACATTTTCACATACACAACTGAATTTTACTCTCCATCGTTGATCTTTTCGTTGTTACATCTGTTCTCGTACTCCTCGAAGCCATAGTCGAGAAACCCAAGGAAAGGTATGACTGTCATGGTTTTGAGAATAAATGTGCCAAGAAAGATAGGGTGTGGGAGAAGAAATAGTGGCGCAGACAGTGGCGGTAGGTCTACCTAAAACTGCACACATCCCGGTTGAGTGATTTGTGGAATTTTAGGTAGACCTGCATGTGCTTCTGTGCAATATACCTTGTTCCTGCACTAGGAAAAACAGGTAATAACCTCCTCCCAACCTATGATAGGAAGGACAGGCTATATCTTCTCTCCCCGTCCTACACTTGAAAGGACAGAGCGTAATATTTCCTCCAATGCAAGGTTAGTTAGTTTAATATGTTTATTATGCACCCCATACCCATCCTGTAAGGATGAAGTGCCCCATCCCTCCCCCACTAGCAAAACCAGGCAATTATCCTCTACCTCAGCGCTAGCTAGTAGAGGAAGTGAACCTACCCATAAGAAGGCACTGCCTCCCGTGTATGTATTTTTGATTTGCACCTGAGCTTGCTAACATGATAATCCCTATACAGGATGCAGCATTTGGCGGTGTGTGCGCTCATGGTGATGGCGGCGGGGTGTGAATCTCTCAGGGCTGGCCGATGTGCTAGTCATGGCCCTGCGGTGGTCACCACTACTCAAGGCAAGGTGGCCGGCATAATGGAGAAGTCTACCAAGGGCAAGAGTTTTTGGTCCTACTACGGAATACCCTACGCTAAACCACCTATTGGCCAGCTCCGACTCAGGGTAATTATTTCATTTTGAAGTCCGAATATGCTTGTGTGTGTATGTATGAAGATTATATATTGGATTATATATTGGATTACACACAAATGCATTTTCATTTTTTAAGTTGATACAAATTGCCGTATTCTTGATAAATTAAACAATGTGATTTTAGTTAATACAAAAGAATGTTATGCTTCAGGACCCGCTGCCTGCAGAACCCTGGGGAGGCCTTAGGAACGGGTCTGAGGTGTCACAGCCTTGCCTTCAGGTACCCTTCTTTGTGGCTGTTGCAGGGATCAGGTTACCACCACAGCAGCTGGTGGGCACCGAGGATTGTCTCTACCTCAACGTCTTCACACCCACGGTATGTTGATGTTCTGCCACCCCTCAGTGTTTGTGGTGGGGGTATCTTCCCATCCAGGGTGTTTGTGGCCGGGGGGATGTGTTTCCCACCCACGGTATGTGTGTGAGGGTGTCTTCACTCCCACGGTATGTGTGTGAGGGTGTCTTCACTCCCATGGTATGTGTGTGAGTGTCTTCACTCCCACGGTATGTGTGTGAGAGTGTCTTCACTCCCACGGTATGTGCGTAAGGGTGTCTTCACTCCCACGGTATGTGTGTGAGGGTGTCTTCATTCCCACGGTATGTGTGTGAGGGTGTCTTCACTCCCACGGTGTGTGTGGGAGGGGGTCTTCACTCCCACGGTGTGTGTGGGAGGGGGTCTTCGCCCCCACGGTGTGTGTGGGAGGGGCGTCTCCGCTCCCACGGTGTGTGTGGGAGGGGGTCTTCGCTCCCACGGTGTGTGTGGGAGGGGTCTTCGCTCCCACGGTGTGTGTGGGAGGGGGCGTCTTCGCTCCTACGGTGTGGGAGGGGGCGTCTTCGCTCCCACGGTGTGTGTGGGAGGGGGCGTCTTCGCTCCTACGGTGTGGGAGGCGGCGTCTTCGCTCCCACGGTGTGTTTTGGAGGGGACGTCGTCTCTCCCACGGTGTGTGTGTGGGAGGGGGAGTCTTCGCTCCCACGGTGTGGAAGGGGGGTCGTCTCTCCCACGGTGTGTGTGTGGGAGGGTGCGTCTTCGCTCCCACGGTGTGTGTGTGGGAGGGGGCGTCTTCGCTCCCACGGTGTGGAAGGGGGCGTCTTCGCTCCCATGATGTGTGTGAGAGGGGGCGTCTTCGCTCCCATGATGTGTGTGAGAGGGGGCGTCTTCGCTCTCACGGTGTGGGAGGGGGCGTCTTCGCTCCCACGGTTTGTGTGGTAGGGGGCGTCGTCTCTCCCACGGTGTGTGTGTGGGAGGGGGAGTTCTTCGCTCCTACAGTGTGGGAGGGGGCGTCTTCGCTCCCACGGTGTGGAAGGGGGCGTCTTCGCTCCCATGATGTGTGTGAGAGGGGGCGTCTTCGCTCCCACGGTGTGGGAGGGGGCGTCTTCGCTCCCACGGTTTGTGTGGTAGGTGGCGTCTTCGCTTCCACTGTGTGTGTGTGTGTGTGTGTGTGTGCGCGAGGGGCCGTCTTCGCTCCCACGGTGTGTGAGAGGGGGCGTCTTCGCTCCCACGGTGTGTGCGTGTGTGAGGGGGCGTCTTCGCCCCCACGGTGTGTGTGAAAGGGGGATTCTTCGCTCCCACGGTGTGTGGGAGGGGGCGTCTTCGTAGGGATGAGTACCGTGCTATGCGAGAAGAGGAGTGTGACCAGCTGTACCTGGAACTCGTTACCTTTGTGACTTGGCCATGATTGTGACCAGATGTAGTTCATTACCTTTGTAACTTGTTCAGCTATCAAAACTTTGGAGTCCAGTCCCTGGACCTATTATGTACCTCTGTAATCTTTTGACTACTGCCCACAGAATGGGAATGGGGTGCATAATAGACATTGAAGTAACTAATCATGTTTGATCCAGTGAAAGGCAGGGTAGCTTTGTTGAAGACCCTTCACCTGCATCACTTCATCCCTTCTGAATTGGACACTTCAGGGGGTCAGGCACTAAGGTTTAGAGATTTTAAAATTGAAGTTAAAAAATTATGGAAATTAAGTTTTTCTTACCAAAAAAATAGGGCAAAATTCTGGCAACATGTTGATTTAATCAGCTTGTTTCTGTCATATTTCTAAGTATGTTTTTTTTTCAAAAATGCACTTTTTATGTTTTTGCTCTCATCAAGAGGACATGTTGGCAATTAGTGTTTTTATTGTTTTTTTTTTGCTCCAGAAATTACTATTATTTCATTCTGAATTACTGATTATTTCATTCTAAACAAGTTCTGTGACGACTAAAGTGAAGAGCACAGAGTTGTTGCTATTCAGTTGCCTCTGGGTTATCAACAATGACAGGGGTTTGCAACACGCTCACTCTGGGTTATCAACAGTGACAGGGGTTTGCAACACGCTCGCTCTGGGTTATCAACAATGACAGGGGTTTGCAACACGCTCACTCTGGGTTATCAACAGTGACAGGGGTTTGCAACACGCTCACTCTGGGTTATCAACAGTGACAGGGGTTTGCAACACGCTCACTCTGGGTTATCAACAATGACAGGGGTTTGCAACACGCTCACTCTGGGTTATCAACAGTGACAGGGGTTTGCAACACGCTCACTCTAGGTTATCAACAATGACAGGGGTTTGCAACACGCTCACTCTGGGTTATCAACAGTGACAGGGGTTTGCAACACGCTCACTCTGGGTTATCAACAATGACAGGGGTTTGCAACACGCTCACTCTGGGTTATCAACAGTGACAGGGGTTTGCAACACGCTCACTCTGGGTTATCAACAGTGACAGGGGTTTGCAACACGCTCACTCTGGGTTATCAACAATGACAGGGGTTTGCAACACGCTCACTCTGGGTTATCAACAGTGACAGGGGTTTGCAACACGCTCACTCTGGGTTATCAACAGTGACAGGGGTTTGCAACACGCTCACTCCGGGTTATCAACAATGACAGGGTTTGCAACACGCTCACTCTGGGTTATCAACAGTGACAGGGGTTTGCAACACGCTCACTCTGGGTTATCAACAGTGACAGGGGTTTGCAACACGCTCACTCTGGGTTATCAACAGTGACAGGGGTTTGCAACACGCTCACTCTGGGTTATCAACAGTGACAGGGTTTGCAACACGCTCACTCTGGGTTATCAACAGTGACAGGGTTTGCAACACGCTCACTCTGGGTTATCAACAGTGACAGGGGTTTGCAACACGCTCACTCTGGGTTATCAACAATGATAGGGGTTTGCAACACGCTCACTCTGGGTTATCAACAATGATAGGGGTTTGCAACACGCTCACTCTGGGTTACCAACAATGATAGGGGTTTGCAACACGCTCACTCTGGGTTATCAACAATGATAGGGGTTTGCAACACGCTCACTCTGGGTTATCAACAATGATAGGGGTTTGCAACACCTCACTCTGGGTTATCAACAATGATAGGGGTTTGCAACACGCTCACTCTGGGTTATACACAATGATAGGGGTTTGCAACACGCTCACTCTGGGTTATCAACAATGATAGGGGTTTGCAACACGCTCACTCTGGGTTACCAACAATGATAGGGGTTTGCAACACGCTCACTCTGGGTTATCAACAATGATAGGGGTTTGCAACACGCTCACTCTGGGTTATCAACAATGATAGGGGTTTGCAACACCCTCACTCTGGGTTATCAACAATGATAGGGGTTTGCAACACGCTCACTCTGGGTTATCAACAATGATAGGGGTTTGCAACACGCTCACTCTGGGTTATCAACAATGATAGGGGTTTGCAACACGCTCACTCTGGGTTACCAACAATGATAGGGGTTTGCAACACGCTCACTCTGGGTTATCAACAATGATAGGGGTTTGCAACACGCTCACTCTGGGTTATAAAACAATGATAGGGGTTTGCAACACCCTCACTCTGGGTTATCAACAATGATAGGGGTTTGCAACACCCTCACTCTGGGTTATCAACAATGATAGGGGTTTGCAACACGCTCACTCTGGTTATCAACAATGATAGGGGTTTGCAACACGCTCACTCTGGGTTATCAACAATGATAGGGGTTTGCAACACGCTCACTCTGGGTTATCAACAATGACAGGGGTTTGCAACACGCTCACTCTGGGTTATCAACATAGATAGGGGTTTGCAACACGCTCACTCTGGGTTATCAACAATGATAGGGGTTTGCAACACGCTCACTCTGGGTTATCAACAATGACAGGGGTTTGCAACACCGCTCACTCTGGGTTATCAACAATGATAGGGGTTTGCAACACGCTCACTCTGGGTTATCAACAATGATAGGGGTTTGCAACACGCTCACTCTGGGTTATCAACAATGACAGGGGTTTGCAACACGCTCACTCTGGGTTATCAACAATGATAGGGGTTTGCAACACGCTCACTCTGGGTTATCAACAATGATAGGGGTTTGCAACACGCTCACTCTGGGTTATCAACAATGATAGGGGTTTGCAACACGCTCACTCTGGGTTATCAACAATGACAGGGGTTTGCAACACGCTCACTCTTGGTTATCAACAATGATAGGGGTTTGCAACACGCTCAAATTTGGTGTTTCATCTCCATAGAGTTTTATAGAAACAAAAACTTGAATAACTCAGGAATAAGTTATTGACATTTGTTTCCCTTATTTTCAAAGAGTAATAATAGGAGTGTCATGATTTTTTTTAGACAATATTGATGAATGATGGTTCTGTTTAGAATCCAAAGTTGTTTTGCAATATGTTTTACCATTTTGTTTTTATTGACTCTTATTCTCACAAAAAATGCCACCCCCCAAAAGAAAAAAAACACATATTTCAAAAAATTTTATAATTCAATCTATTGACATTTCTGACAAGAAAGTTTGGAGTCTACATAATCTATCTTTCATCTGATGTTGACTAGAACATTGTTCAACTTATCAATTTTGTAAATAAGGGAGGGATTTATGAGAAATACAATTTTGCAATATCTTGCAACTTTGCAACAAGAAGTCCATGCAAACATGTGTATAGGATGCTAACTCCTCCTTAACAACAGCATAAAGTTACACTTGAAATTGGACTTCAATTTTAAAATCTCTAAACCTTAGCGCCTGAGTTCCTTCAGTAGTTCTTCACTCCTGGTTTTGTTTGAAGGCAAAGGGCGCTGTATGACTATTGTGGGTTTAGCGTTTAGTTTGGATTGTAATTGTTGAAAAAATTATCTGAACTTGCTCCTAACCAGGGAAGTCACTTAAAAAGTGCATATAATTTACATTATTTATTAAAGCGCTCTTTAAGTAAAAGCGGAGCCCTCACGTTAATAATGATGTTGGGTTCACTTTGTAGCAGTTGACGTCGATTAAGGAGTTGCCGGTTATGGTGTTTATACCTGGAGGCGGCTTCTTCGCTGGAGGCAATTTGGAGTACCTACCACACGTCCTCCTCAACCATGACATTATTCTGGTCGTCCTCCAGTACAGGCTTGGGATCTTGGGTAAGTACCGTATCGGTGTTTTAAATCTGTACTCTTGCACTAAAGTAAATGCCGAGTGTCTTTAGGTATACATTAAATAAAAATGCTCCATATCACTTCTTTTCTTTTTATCTAGTACTTAGACCTGAACATCAGGACCTGGTTTCTTTATTATGTGCCTCTTATACCTACGCGGATTGACTGTAAAGACGGGGTGTAACGTCCAGAGATTCATGGCGTTAAACTGAGGGTGTACCATTCTCCCTACGTAAGTGATCAGGATACTTTTCCCCTTTTGTCAGTTTTCTGTGATAGTTAATGACTTCAACGAACCGAGAAAATTATCCCCTTATTCTATAACAACTGTGCCTCAGTGCACACGATTGGAATGGTGCAGAGTTTGGTAAGATGACAATGCAGTTAAATATTAGCTTTGAAGATTTGAGGCTAATCAAAGGAGGCATTCACAAATCATAAGGAAACTTTAAGCTCGAAGCTTAATGTGCTTACAAGGGATTGAAGTTCACAGGATACGATATTCAGAAATTATCGCATGAAAAGCCGTATTTCATTTTTATTTTCGTATTCCAAAATAAAGCAATTTGGACCTGTAGAGGCTAAAGTCATTCCAAACTTTTCTCTGATTAAAATTGACGGCCTTTTAAAGAAAGTCGATACAAAGTTTTATATAAAGTTTAAGAGTGCATAACATAATTTTTTTATCAATTGTCTGGAAAGCACGGATTATATAGGCACATAAAGGAAAATTAGTTCATTTAATCTAGGATAAGCAGAAACTCAATGTCTCTTCTGATCAGAAATAAGTCATTCTCCAGTTATTTTACAGAAACCAATATGATTAATAAAATTGGCATATGAGTTACACAGTCTAACATCAAGAGATTGTGTCCTTTTGAGAAACACACATTAGCACTGACAGTTTAAAGCTGACCGGAACACAAGTCGGTACTAAAAGTTTGAAGCTGGAGAGAAGATGCATTTTCTAGTTATTTTCTAGTAATTTGTGCCTTCACAACCTAAACCCATGAAATGTTCCATTAGTTTCATACGATGCATCAACCATTGAGGATTGATACCGTTCACAGTTGTTTTATTTTAATTAGATAAATCCGCTAAACCCATTAATAAAAAATTCGTTTCCTAAACCTGCGCGAAATTATTAGGTTAAAAAAGATAAATTTTCTGCCCATTTTATTAATTAGTTCAGCATTGGAAATTTGTTACTATATTACTAGAGTAGTTACACAATATTGTTTTAGTGCACATTATCCTTGTCTAGAAGGACGTGGTTTTTCTTTCCTTTCGCTCATGCACGTGCAAATTATTAAACTTAAGATTTGTTACTGCAAGCCAAGGAACTTTAAGTTACTATTCTTAATTCTCAAAATATTTTTATTACATAGGATTCTTGTCGACGGAGGATTATATTGTTCCTGGAAAACTTGGGACTGAAGGATCAGACATTGGCGCTCCAATGGGTACAGAACAATATTCACAGCTTCGGTGGAGATCCTAATTCTGTTACTATCTTTGGCGAGAGTGCTGGAGGGGCTTCGGTGCATTACCACATCCTGAGTCCAAAATCACGAGGTTAGTGAGACCGAGCAGGTGGGGTGCAGTGTGTTGTTGTTGCAAGCAAGCTAGAAGGCATGTGGATTTTAGGGGCGATTCCTGAGCAATTAGTTAAAATTTTATAAATTTAAAACTGTGGCTGGAACACGTGTTAATTAATTTACCCACTCACACATCGGAAAATAACACACTTTTGTCCATCTTGGGCCGTATAGTCACTTGGGAGAGAGGTGAGACAGCCAGTTGAAGAGGTTGAGACAGTTAGCGTAAATATGAGGAACATTATGTACGAGAAGATTCAATAAGACTACATCTGTGAAAGCTGGAGGAGGATAATTTGGCTCGTGGGATGGCATTATTAATATCTAAAGGCAAGTACGTTTGTGTTTAAGTTGTGCAATACTGTATGATCAATAAAGGTGCAGCCCCTTTTCTAATAGAAAGTTTGTGAACATCAAAATGGTATACAATACCGACAGGTTGTTAGGTTAAGACACATATGCAACAGTTAGACAACTTTATCCGAAACGTTTCGCCTACACAGTAGGCTTCTTCAGTCGAATACAGAAAATAGGCAGGAACAGTAGAGATGTGAAGACGATGTAATCAGTCCATCACCCTTGTAGTCGTAGAATTTGAGGTTGTCAGTCCCTCGGCCTGGAGAAGTTCAGTTCCATAGTCAGGAACTATCTGAAGATCAAGCGACAGTGCGGAGACTTAAATACTGTCGGAAGGAGAGGTGCAGAGTAGTAGTAGTAGTAGTGAGAATGTGACAAGCTTTTCAAGTGAGAAGGGTTGGATCTGAGAGGGACATGACCTCTCAGTGGTCACATTCTCACTACTACTACTACTATTACTCTGCACCTCTCCTTCCGACAGTATTTAAGTCTCCGCACTGTCGCTTGATCTTCAGATAGTTCCTGACTATGGAACTGAACTTCTCCAGGCCGAGGGACTGACAACCTCAAATTCTACGACTACAAGGGTGATGGACTGATTACATCGTCTTCACATCTCTACTGTTCCTGCCTATTTTCTGTATTCGACTGAAGAAGCCTACTGTGTAGGCGAAACGTTTCGGAATAAAGTTGTCTAACTGTTGCATATGTGTCTTACCTAACAACAGGTACGACCCACAAGGGGTGAGCGGGGCAGTGGGTACAGACGAAGAATAGCTCAGGAGAAAAACGTCTCGAGCCGTAGAAAGAACATAAGGACATAAGAACATAAGAGCCGGGGCTAAACCCAGCCGCAGAGTATTGTAAGGCAGATATGGACGACAGTACAAAAAACAAGACACTTGCTGAGCGTACTGACTGTAGTCTTGAGTATATCTTGATAATGTAGAGGATGGTAGGCAGGCAAATTTACGGCAGTTTACCAGTAAAAGAGCCATTTCTGATTTTTTTTTGTTGATTTCTAGATGTGAATGAGTTTAACTTTGTTATTGAAGTCTTTTAACTGTTTCAGTGGAATGAAGTCGTTCTTGAGTTGTACATAGGTCTTCAGGGATGTAGGTAAACTTAACAGTTCCTTTTTGAAGTCGGGAATACAGTTCTTTGCAATACACTGTATCACTGTATGGTTTAGTTGTGCAAAAAATTATATCTTGTCAACTCCTTCCGTTTGGGTAGGGAGGAAATTTTTTCATCTTCTCCTTCCATGTCTTCTTTTTTGTCCTGTTTCTCGGGTAGTTGTGTGTCTTTAGTAGGTTGGTAGACTTAAGACGGTTATAAATAACAAAAAGGCACAATACCGTGACTGGAACGATACACAAATAACCCGCACATAAAAGAGAGAAGCTTACGACGACGTTTCGGTCCGACTGGGACCATTCACAAAGTCACACTAACAGCGGTGGAGGAGGACGGCTATATATAGGCAGGAAGAGGTGGAGGTGGTAGTAGTAGTAGTAGTAGTAGTAGTAGTAGTAGTACAAGAATTGTATATAATACCGACAGGATGAAATTAAGACACATGCACAACACCCGGGCATCCCCATCGTAGACGTTTCGCCATCCAGCCAGCCACTGGATGGCGAAACGTCCACAACAAAGACAACCAGACGCCGCACATGTCTTAATTTCATCAGTAGTTGTAGTAGAAGAAGAAGAGGTAGTAGTAGTGGTAGTGGTAGAAGTGGGAAATAAGGAAGACGAGCCAGTCAAATACAAAGGAAGGGGAGCACTGCAAGAGAGCTAGATGCCCACAGAGGGAGAGCAAGCGCACAGAGGTGCGTGAAAGGGGAAGTGGTGATATAAAATAAATGAAAAAGGAACAGAAACACGAGACAGGAGAGAGAAAGACAACCCAGAGGAGAAAAGGAGAGAGGAAAGGGGAAGAGAAAAAAGAAAAAGAAAAAGAAAAAATGAGGATTCAGGTTAAGTCACGGGTGTTCTTAAGTTTGGAGCATTTTACAATGTAGTGGGAGAGGAAGGCATCTACAGAGACGAAGCCAGGGCTAAGGTTCATACAAGGAAAGTTGTGTATTAGAGAGGATTCAACTAGACGGCGGCTGTTCGAGTTGGAAGTAGGGAAGACAGTTTTAGCAGAAGACCAGTCAATAGGATGGCTATGATCTCTGACGTGACAGAAAAGAGCATTGTTAGTGTCGGCAAGCCTAACAATATTTTTGTGCTCCCTAAGTCTGTCAGAAAGAGATCGACCAGTTCTCCGAAGTATTGAAGAGGACAGGAGGAGCAAGAAATAGAGTAGACACCAAGAACATCTGTAGAGGGAGGAGAGGTATGAACGAGATTAGTGCGAAGAGTGTTAGTCTGGCGGAAGGTAAGCTTGATGTCTAAGGGACGGAGAGAATTGTTGAGATTAGAAAGACCGGAAATGTAGGGAAGGCAGAGGATAGAAGAGTTCCCATGAGTAGAGAGTTTGGGAGAGAAGAAATTGCATTTAGCACGTGAGAGGGCAGAGTCTATAAAATGGGAAGGGTAGCCAAGACGGGAGAACGAATTGTGAAGAGTGGAAATTTCTGCTGGAAGGAACTGAGGATCACAGATGCGGAGGGCACGGAGAAAGAGGGAGATAAGAACACTTTTCTTGACAGGGGAAGCATGATAGGAAAAGTAGTGAATGTACATGCCACTGTGCATAGGTTTACGGTAAACGGAAAAGGAAAAACCTGCATCTGAGCGGTGGACATGGACATCAAGGAAAGGAAGTAAGGAATTAGATTCCCATTCAGCTTTAAACTTAATGGAAGGGGCAAGATTATTAAGAGCTTCAAGAAAAGGTTGGAAGAGACTGGAGTCATGAGGCCACAGAGCAAAGATGGTCAGAAGCAGTGGTGCTGGAAGTCGTTCGTGTCATGTCATTGGTGAGATTTGTAGGAGTCTTGTCATTGATTGAGATTGTCTTGAGCAAGAGCAGTTGTCAGGTTCTGGAAGAAAGTCTCCAGGTGCAGTGAAGTTGATTTGTGGAATAATCTTAAGTATATGAGTTGAAGGTGGAGAATCAGGTAAGATAAATTTTGGCATGCTCTCGGGTCTGAAGAGTTCATTGATAGTTGTGTTGAAGGATCCAAGTTGTGCTACATTTTGCACGTGAACAAACATCATGCAATAGTAAATTTCTGTAGGAACTCGGTCAGGTAGTGGAGAAAAAGTAAGTTGCTGGTGGAGGACGTCGGTTGAGTAGCTTTAAGAATTTTGGCGGTGTCAGCTTGCAGTTTTGTGAGGGCAGCATACGTTGGAGATTTGGTAGATTTTTTCTCTTGGTTTTTCTTGGTAATTTCTTTCCTCATGGGGCACTTAGCAGCAAGAGTGCGATGTTCACTCTTACAGTTCAGGCATTTTGGAGGAGGTGATGGTGGTGCAAACCTTGAAATCCATGCCCTTCGCAGCCACGGGTCGAACAGAATTTTGTATCCTTGATAGGACAGTCCTTGAAAAAATGTAGGTAGGAGTAGCAGCTCCAACAGGGCGTAATGTGTTGAAATCACTCGGCTTCAATATGACTAGAATTTATGTAGTAGTAAGTCTGCCGTTCCATCAGCAAAAGCTTGGGCTGCCATGGTAACGTCAGTGAAAGTAATATTTAGCATTGAAGAAGCATTTGGAATTTTGGTGATGTAATCAAGTGAACCAAGAATTCTGATCTTCTATTGATGTCTTCGGTTCGTCAATACATTAGGTTGTAATAAGTTTGTCCAGTCGTTTAATGAAAACAGATCTCTTTTCCCTCAGTGCTGGAGAAGATATAACTCGGAATCACGTTCACTGAGTAGTTGTGGCGGTAATAGTGATCAGTTTTTTAGGCTTCAAAATCATGTCATGACAATGAATGCATCTTTGAGCGAGAGAATCTAACTAAATTTGACATGGAAGCTACCCCTCACAGTAGCTACAAGTACTAATTTAGAAGTCATTTACTATCCCACTACTAGGCTTAATCTTCGCAAGATTTGAAAAATACATCGTGGAAGAGCACAGATAACGACTGCAGAAAGTAAAAGTTCCCCTCCCCAACGGGGATAGTAGGGAGACTGCAGAGGTATGTCCTGCCAGAGGCGAGGTCAGCAGCGCAATGCATCGCTGCTGACGCAGGTAATGTAAAATTAGCTGTCCTACCCTCGCAAATGCTCCCTTGATTCACTTCTTCAGAAAGGTTAATCGAGATGCAGGACCAACGGTCTTGGTTTCCCCATGCACAAATTGGAAGACTTATTTGTGGTGTGGAGTCTATTCTGACTAGAAATCCCCCCCCCCTCTCTCGAATGCCACATGTAGAGAAAAAATAGTACCTTCAGTCAGGTGTTTTAGCAACTCTAGTACACACAGCCGTAGAGTCCCTGTATTCTGACGCTGGTGAGGGGCTCTTGATCTAGGGAATTGGATCTATACTCCAATTCCCTGAATTGAGCCTGAATACCTTCCTCCCCCCCACATGCGCTGTATAATCCTACGGGTTTAGCGCTCCCCCATGATTATAATAACATAAAAGTATACACAAGTACAGTTACATAGATTATCATACATATCAGCATATGTGTAGAGAACCTATGATAACTCAAAAAAAGTTTGCCTAGTCACCAGGCACTTTCCCTAATTAACATTAATATACACTGATGTTACTAGCTTACCCCTGGTTGGGTCTTGCCCTACTAGTAACCAGTACAGCTAAATTACCCGACGTTCTCCAAAATAATGAAGGCCGCCTATTACCGAGTTCAAAACTGGCGTAGAGGCTGGAGTATCTACTACTACAAGAACGCCTCTACTTCTTTTAACTGATCGCCAGAAGAGTATTTTGTCGACAGTGTAGGCTGATATCCACTCCATGCATGTACCTCATACTCTTCCATCTCAGACCAAAAGATCTAACAAGCTGTCTTGCGAACCTCAGCTCTCCTAAGTTGCTGGCCACTCTGTTATTGTCTAATCTCATTACCTAATATAGCGTATTAATATGTCTCAGGCTGTTTTATTAATTCTAATATTTATTTACTAAAGATTCAAGCTTTATAGATTCCTAGAGGGTATGTTAGTGTGGGAACCTGCGAGACTCCTACACTGGCAGTCACTGTTAACATATGTAACCCAAGACTCCTAGTCCCCGTCTCACAAGTGACTCTTGGAAAACACTTCCTTATGAGAATTAATCTAACTTGCAGGAAATTCATATCTGCATGCACAAACTAAAACTAACTTGATTTGGTTGTGGAAACTATGCTAAATAGAAATCCCCCGATTCTACCCAAGCAATCTAGATTTCTATGACCTCTCACTTCAAATGGTGTTAGTATCCCCAGTCTGCACCTTGAGGATCCCTGAATTCAATGGGTATTCCCAAATAAATATTTATGCAGACAGTGGGACATTAGCTTTTGGACTGATATTAAAGCGAGTTACAACGCAGTCTGTGTTGGGCTTTGACCCGCATTGTAACTCAAAGCTCAAATTCTCTAAGTTCCCCAAAAACCGTTGGCCAACAAGAGAAGTGCTGAGTATCATCTTACTAAGGGGGCCTGGGAAGAGATAATCTTTTTTGATTATAATAATAATAATACTATAATAATTATAATAATAATGGGAAGAGATAAATATCCACGGTTGAAGGGAAGCCTCTTCGTTTTGGTCACCAGACAGTATTTTCAAGACACGTGGGACGGTGAGCTCAAAAGTTCATGTTGCTGTAACCACCAGTTTTTGTCCAACAACGAATCTTCTACTGCTGTGCCTCAGTTCCCCTCAAGGAAGATTCCTTGATGCTGGTGAGGGGCTCTTGATCTAGGGAATTGGATCTGTTCTCCAGTTCCCTGAATTAAACCTGAATACCTTCCACATCCCCCCCAGGCGCTGTATAATCCTACGGGTTTATCGCTTCCTCCTTGATTATAATAATAATGTGCCTCAGTTCAAAGATGTGGATTGCTAGTTGACATTATCTCATTACCTAATATCACCTAATATTAAGGTCTAAGGTTACAATATTAATTTAATAGTTACTAACATTTTAAAACTAATTCATTCTTAAACATTATGTCAATTAGTATAGTTTAATCTTACAATTTATCTCCATATTCGTAAACTGTGCATGTTAGTATCGTTGTTTGGGTGGGTATTAAGGGTTCCTGCGACTGCTGCATCAACTTATTTACAAATGAATCCGATCGGTGGAATTCTTGGTTTCAATAAATTTCCACATTAACATGTTTTAAAGGGTATGACATGGTTCTCATGGCATCCATGTAAACACAACACTTAAATATATACAGAACCCGACAATGGAAATTCTAGGACTCGGTAAATTTCCATATGTATAATAAAGTGATGGTTTCCCCTCCCTAGGAATGGAGCATCACGCCCCTTCCATTGGGACCACGTGTGGACGGGGACTTCATCCCGGCTCACCCAGCACTGCTGATAAGAGACCATCAATATAACCCTGTGGACATCCTTACTGGTACTACGGCTCACGAAGGCCTTCTCGTCGGTTATCGTAAGTCTATTTGTCACCCGCTTTATTTCAGTGAAGGTCATATTAGATTACATTTAGATTTTACCTCCGAAGTGACTAGTTTGTTCGCCCCATATCCTGTGGATGGTAACGGAAGAGTACGTGGACTGACCTAGGAGCTAGCCCATAAAAAGGTTAGCAAGAGTACTTCTTGATTTATATCTACATGTATATTTTGCAGGCAAATTTAGAAAATTTGCTTAATATGCAAATTTCCTAAATTTCGCATATGTTGATCTCTGTCATCGCCTTGTTAATAATACGCAATTATAAGGAATTAGGGCTGAAAATTGGAGAGCAAGACGCATGTGCAACAACTGGTTATCTTTATTGCTGACTGAAGCGTTTTGACAAAGCAGTAGGCTTTTTGTCAAATACCTCTGCGTATTTGGCTAAAAAAAAAAAAAAGCCTGCGTAGGCAAAACGTTTCAACCGACAATAAAATACTCAACGGTTGTACATGCCTTAATCTTTAACGTGTCGGTATTACATAAAAAAATTCTAGCTGAACATTGGCTCTACTCTCCCGCTCCTACTTAACCCTGACAAGTTTCAAAATTTGTAATATCTTAGTATATCCAGACTAGGTTGGCAAAATTGCCTGTCAACTACTGTAGGCTGATACAATGTTGGCCTACAGGAGTCTAATTTTGATTTTCAGCTCTCTTTGGTCAGACTAATCTTCAAGAGTCACTCCTGAAAAATTTCTCGTACGTTGGTCCTTTGAGTCTTATGTGCTGTGATGGCTCTACTGACCCTCTGACTATTACCCAAAGAGTCTATACCTATTATCTCGGAGGATTGAACTTCAGTCTTGAGACACAGAAAGACCAGATAATTCGGGTATGTATCTTTCTTTCCTTGTACTGTGCTTTGTTACGTTCGACAGTCTCGGTATGTGTAACAATATCTAGAATATTTCTCATTTGTGAAGTCATCACTGGCACATTAATTCAATGGCATAATAGGAATAATAGAAACAAATTAATTATTATAATGTATAACTAATGTTTATCCTATGATTAAGTTTCTGTATTAAAGATATTAGAGTAAAAATATCGCAGGTAAATTCTACCATTGAATGTTTCCTTAAATATAGAAGATATAGAAAATAATTTTAATAGTATATTAAAGGGTAATTGCATAATTTTTAAAAAGTATAACAATTCTAATGAAGGATTAGACCCCAGAAATTTTAGCCTTTTAACTAAAAAACAAAAAATCTCATTTTGAGATGAACATGTACATTCTGGATAACTGAATTTTCTATAAATTTAAACACTGCTTAAAGTTTATAAATTTATTGCTGTGGAGGGGGAAAAATAACCCTCCATATGCCTTAAGTGTGCGAGAGACAGCATATTGTAACAGTCCACCAAATGCAAAATTTGCGTGAAAAATTTAATAACTGAAAAAGTGGGCACATGGACTTTTAATTCACTAAAAATTTGGCTCTAGAATACGTCAACAAAGTAAACTCAAGGACTACCACAGTAAACTCTTCCTAAAGACACATTAACTCATTTTCATAACCAATATAAATAAATAATAGCACTATTATCCCTAGCAGACAGTACTAGAATGTATGAGTGGCGTCCACTGATGACACACCAAATCCCCACATTGATATAAACATGTCTAACACTGGTTATTTATAGGAAATTTTAAGAATTAAAAATGAAAGTTTAGATCGACTGAAGCTTAAAGAAGAATGTTAGAGAACTGATAACAGAATCTCACGTTCAAGGATCACAGGTGTTCCTATCACTAACGCAAGGAAATCGATAGGCTGTGTAACAAGAACTTTCAAAATAGATGCCGGTCCAATGATTCTTTTGTCACCTGTGTTCCCTAGATAGGAATATAATAATAATAATAATGATGATTAATTTTTTCTACAATTACATGTACAAAGTATACAGGCCTAGCTGACATCAATGACATACTACATTTCGGGCAAATTAGGTCAGTTTTGTCCCAGGATGCGACCCACACCAGTCTAAAACCCAGGTACCCATTTTACTGATGGGGAACATAGACAACCGGTGTAAGGAAACACGCCAGATGTTTCTACCATTGCTTGTAATCTAACCTGGAATCTCGCCGTGTGCAGTGAGCTTTAGCTACCAGGTCACGGGGCACACGCGCGATTTCGCAGACAGAGTATAGGCTAGGTGGACAAAGACTACAGACCTCACTCAGGGAGAAAGACCTTGGGGTGACCATAACACCGAGCACATCACCGGAGGCACACATCAACCAAATAACCGCTGCAGCATACGGGCGCCTGGCAAACCTGAGAATAGCGTTCCGATACCTTAATAAGGAATCGTTCAAGACACTGTACACTGTGTATGTTAGGCCCATACTGGAGTATGCAGCACCAGTCTGGAACCCACACCTGGTCAAGCACGTCAAGAAGTTAGAGAAAGTACAAAGGTTTGCAACAAGGCTAGTCCCAGAGCTCAAGGGAATGTACGAGGAAAGGTTAAGGGAAATCGGACTGACGACACTGGAGGACAGAAGGGTCAGGGGAGACATGATAACGACATACAAGATACTGCGGGGAATAGACAAGGTGGACAGAGATAGGATGTTCCAGAGAGGGGACACAGGGACAAGGGGGTCACAACTGGAAGCTGAAGACTCAGACGAGTCACAGGGACGTTAGGAAGTATTTCTTCAGTCATAGAGTTGTCAGCAAGTGGAATAGCCTAGCAAGTGAAGTAGTGGAGGCAGGAACCATACATAGTTTTAAGAAGAGGTATGACAAAGCTCAGGAAGCAGAGAGAGAGAGGATCCAGTAGCGATCAGTGAAGAGGCGGGGCCAGGAGCTGAGTCTCGACCCCTGCAACCACAATTAGGTGAGTACACACACACACACACACACACACACACACACAACACACACACACACACACACACACACACACGGGGCCAGGAGCTATGACTCGACCCCTGCAACTACAATTAGGTGAGTACACCTAGTGGTGCAGACCATATATGAATTTTAAAAGACGAGGTGTGAAAAATGCTCGTGGAGGCAGGGAAGAGAGGACCTAGTACATGTCAGTGAGAGGTGGGCCAGGAGCTATGACTTGACCCCAGCAACCACAAATAGGTGAGTACGGTACACTCTTTCCTAAAACAGACCTGATTATTACTGTTCTTTCTGCTGACAACAGCGGTTTTAGTGGCCGATGAAGGTACGTAGGTAGCACTGATACGGCCGTGGACTAGTTTGGCTTAATTGGATAGGATGAGTACACAACGGCAGTGTGAGGGAGTGAACCGCAAGAGCCCAGTCCGTGAGGGGGAGCACTTGAGCCTATCAGTCTGTTCCGGCCTAGGAGTGAGAACCGATGGGCTCAGCCTCCGGACTGCCCTCGGTGAGCCTACAGGAGGGCAGCACTTAAATGCGCGAAATTGAATCTAGTCAGAAGAACAGGACGGCTAGGCGGTGTGTTCTGACAGTACAGGGTATCACAGACCTTTACACGACGACTGAATCGCAATCTTGAATTATACCTCTGGAACGTAAGGGGAAAAAAATGGGGAGAGATATAGACGATGTAATATAATATAAATATATATAATATATATAATATATATGATATATATATAGATATCTAATAATTAGTAATAATATAATATATATATATATAGATTATATATATTATATATATATATATATATATATATATATATCAATAAAGTATATATATATATATATATATAATATATATATAATTAGATATTATATAAATATATATAATATATATAAAGATATTATGATAATAATATCTAATATATATAAAATATAATAATATTTATATATATATATAATATATATTATATATATATATATATATATATATATATATATTATATATAATATATATATATATATATATATATATATATATATAAATATATATATATATAATAATATAGTTATATATATATAAATAATATATAAATATTTTATAATAAATAGTATAATATAGATATATATGCAGCAAACAATCGCAGATGGGCATCTTACCTATGCAAGACAAGCCATAGGGCTGATGGAAATCTTAGCTTAAGTACTTTCACACAACCAGTGCTCATCAGGAGTCTATGCAATGTTACAAGATAGCACTAAAGCAGGAGAGAGTTCTCAGAGTAAGCGTAGTGGCGGAGTGTCCACCGGCCAAGTGTTACCCAATAATACTAATGGAAAAGAAAATTTTAGAAAGTTACTTAATTTTTAAATGAGTTCTTGCTATTGACCAGTTTTTACCTATTCGGAACAACAAATATATAAAATATAGGGAGGTACCACCTTAGAAACTGTTCTGGGGACCTCTCTCCTCAGAGATAAGAATGAACTTGCCTTCAGGGAAAACTCAAAGTTCCTCCCTGAAGCTGTTTGAGAATTTTATCCTACCACCTCCTAGTATTCAAGTATTGTTTTTATTTAAAGACAAAATACAACTTGGCCAAAACATTCACAAAAATACAACGAGAAAGTAAAACAACATAGGTAACTCAGAGCTAACATTCGAGTACTTCGTCCAGCTCCCCTGCGGTGGTCGCAAGCCCAGAAATCTGTCAGGCAATTCCTCGCTGACGCAACACTGAGATTCTGAAGAGGAAGCTGTCGCCCTGTGGTCCACTGGTTACTATATAGCCTTCACCCAAGCTTTTTGAGGAACTTTAGAGCATCATACTTGCCCCATGCTTCCAAGGGTCACCCGACCCTATTGGAATGAAGTTATAGCAAGGGGGAAAGGTCCGTCATATTTTCGGATCTTCTGGGTCTCCCTGTGGCTGGCAGCTCCCATCCCCTTCCCCTACGGAATATGGCAAAAGGTGCCTGCAATGTGGCGGCACAGTGTAGTCCTAGGCAATCTGCTTTCTCATCCATCCAGGGTAGCATAGTGGCTCCATCAGGACGCTTTTGAATTCCATCAGCCCTCCTGTACGTTGGGTTCCGTTGAGCTGGGCATCGGGCTGTTGGGCGAGGCTTCTCTTTATGTCATTGACCTCCTCCATGTCTGTCAACTTCCCTTCTGCTTGATGACACACGAGAACCATGAAGTCCGTATTGATCAGCTGTTCGCCCTGGCCGCCAAATACCACCTATGTTGCGGTGAGATGGGGCGGCTAGGCGAAGAGAGCAAACACAATCGAATGGCCTGTGGGTCGAGACGGGTGCCCAGGAGGAATTGGGAACGCTAACAGGAAATCTCCTGATTGTGGTGCCTTCACTGCCA